CATGAATTTGGAAGAACATGCAACATTAAACCATATGATCCAATAAAATGAGGGTTTTGTCCAGACGATTACAGGTAAGTAAGTTTGAAGGACACTGGTGTTGGAGCTTTTGCTGTATTTTCAGTGTTTGGACCATTAGCAAAACAACATCATTATGAAAAGTGTGCAATAGCACAACCACAATTATATGTTAAGCAAAAAGAAACATAGCAGGAAGGACACAACCTATGAAGACAAACACAAACTTCTATGCAATACAGCATGACTTAATCAAGGTTATGCAGAAAACAACACGAATATTACATTACTTATTTTTCTAGAATGCGTACGCAACTTACCTTGAAAACAAATCCTTCTGGACAGGTGTGGTCATACTTGTAAACCTTGTAGACTACCAGAAATACAACACATGTTAAGAACGCAAGGGCAAAAAGGACCAGCACAGTTACCTGTAAAGAAAACAAAACGTACTGATGTTAGTAAGGCACCGCTTATTACGCTGCTGTTTGTTACTGCAGGCAGCAGAAGCCAGCTAGGAATGCACTTTACAGTGAAATCAAGCAAAGGATAAACCCAGCTTCTGAATTATTGAGGGAGAACAGGGAAGCAGCACATAAGTGCTTCCACCTCCCTCTTCTCGGCGAATAAAGCAGATGATCCAACCAGTGCCCCATCGCCTCTGCACTGCAAGGCTCTTTGGGTTGCATTTCTGTTCAGTGCATGAGGCCAGAAGGGCACATGGAGGTAGCCTGCGTCTGCTGCATCTTCAGTACTTGGCTGATGTAGGTGCAAATCCCGTGTACCTCAGCTGTGAGTGTGTGTGTTTGTGTTCCCCATGCCTGTCTGAGAATGGAGTCAGTGACAGTCAGTGAGCACAGGCTTCATCCAGGTAATGCAAAGGCAACTCCAGCAGGGCACGGAGCAGGCAATGTCTGCGCTCTCTTGTCAGGATGAAAGTTTGTGGCGCCTGCTATGCATGTGTGAATATTTACACCAGTAGTCTGCGTGCTTGGTTGCTCAATCCTCAGTTCATAGATTTAAACAGTACTTCTTCACAGAGATTGTGCACGAGTTCACTGACACATCCGTAAGGGAATACACCGTGTTCAGCACAGGGCTCACCTCAAGGAGCTGTGTGGTGCCTCTTTCCACAGTGCTCACAGACTGCATTACATGGCACTGACTTTTCACTGTGTCCTTAAGGACCTCCCTGGTCCTGAACCTGGGCTGGAGCAAAATCCAAGACACACTCGAAGATGAATCTGGAATCAGTGTCAGTATCAAGTGAACCTTTCCCAGGAATAAACTCCAAGCAGCTGGAAACCAGCAGCCTTTTACGTGAGACAGGAGACAGAACCACCTCTAGAATTACCTCACTTATCCACATGAGAAAGCACAAGATTTTGGCCTAGCAGTTACACTGCAAAGCTCCCTAATTGGACCCCTTTTTGTGGCACGTATGAGCTGAGCAAATGCCATTCATTACCTGGGATGTGTGGTTTTATTATTCTAAAGCTTCTACTGATAAGACAAATGTGTATCTTAAGATTACAGAGTAAGAGTGGTTGAGTTTGGGGTTTTTTTTCCCTCTGAAACTGTTTTGGAAAGTGATTATGTTTTTTGAAAGGGTCAAAAGCCCAGTGTTGTGCAGACTGCTGGAGCCTGGCAAGTCACAAAGCCACGGCCTTAGGGCTGATGTGCTGAGACATGGAGCGTTTACCTCTACCAGTGACCTACGTGGGGCTGCGAGTTCTCACTGCTGGTACAAGCCATGTTCAGCATGGCTCTTCCATCACCACACAGCAAGCCACTGGGAAAAGCTCTCAGGGCTCCTGGTTCATAATTCTCACAGAATCTCTCTCTTGCACTTAATTTCCTAATGCTATTAATTCTGGTAATAGAGTAATTTTTTACTCTCATTATCTCCAATAATTTGCAATCACACTCCATTTGCAAATCCCTTACCAAGTAAGCTCTTGTCTCCTTACTGTTAGCAGAGAAGCTCCCTTCTCTTGCCACCCTTCAGGATACAAGTAACTTCCACTGAAGTAAAACACATGCAAACCACAGATGGAAAGAAGTCCATCACTGATTCCAAGGTGGTTGCAATCACCTGTTAATCCAATCCACTTCTTCCTTACAAGCTGAAAATCCTTCTCTTCCTTCTAATAGCCGTTTTCCTCCACTCTCATAACCCGCCACTGATGGTCCACAACTGCCAGATCCCCAGGGTCCCTTCTGAGCCTGAGGCAGTCAGTAGCAGCACAGCATGACCCTACCTCTCTGCCTCACCTTCTGAGCCCTCTCCTCCCAGACATCTTTCAGAAATAACAGCATGGAAAGAGGGAAGGCAACAACCTGCTCATCAGACCACAAGCACTATCAAAGCTGCTGTTTCATTGCTTTCTTCCACAGCAACTTTGCACACTTACTATAAACTAAAGTTACTCTCTTCTTCCTGCAGAGCAGTGGCAGAAACTTGCCCTCTTCCTCTGCTGAAGGTAGGAGAGGATGCAGTGCATGGACAAGCACCACTCCCCCACTCTGGAAGGGAATCCTGAATCTCTTGTCCTCAGGGCAGCAGCTGGTTGACTGCAGGACTCCGTACAGTGGGAGCAGAGCTCTTTTGAATTACTCTGATCATTCACTGCCACGTGCATCCCACAGAACTCCAAGGTGACGGTCACACCACACGAGTGATGCCCTTTTAAAATGCTTTTTATGAAGTAACTACAAGATTGCACAAAGAACCGTTTCTCAAAGCATGGTTTTGTTTTCATCTTGAGAATGTCCTTTAAAGTTGGTTTTAAGGGGATCTGGCAGCAAACTAAGTGAACAGAGAAGATGACAAGACATTATGTATGTGGCAGATTTCTGAATAGATTCTAAGTGAAGAGCAGAAGGACAACGTCTAGCCAGAAGCCATTACAGTAATCGAAATGAGAGATGACTAATGAATGAACTAAGTGTACCCATAGCAAAAAAAGACCTGTCTTCAGACTCTGTAAGCATTTAGCCCAACAGAAGAAGCTCACCAGATCTGACAACTGCACTACCATGTAAACAGCTCCTGAGAAGGCCTTACCATCAAGAGCTGCTAGACCTTCCCCATCAGTCCATCCCATTTCGCTACAGCTGCAGAACACTGCAAACTGTATTTTCTCTGCCTTGCTACTGCAGTCTCCTCCTTCCTCACTTTGCTAACATTTACTGTTCCCTTTTCAATCAAGGCAGAATATTACAGCAAAATTCATCAACTGCAGCAACTGTGCCTTGCCTCTCTTCACAGCCTTCCCTGGCTCGTGGCCCTTTCTGAACAAGTTACCGGCCATGTTTCAAGGCAGGCACAAGTCTGCCCCTTTTGCTCCTCTGAGCTTTACCTCCTCTCATTTTGCCTGTGTCCCACCGTCCCACTAAAGCCTGAGTGCAATCTGCTTTTCCTCTGCCTTCACCTCTACCTTTCTCACCAGCCTCCTCCTCTTGCCTGAAATTCTGTCATTAACCACTGGCACTGTGCTGCTTGCACCGCCTTCCTTCACGTGTTTCCTCCCGTCATGCACCTTCCAGCGCACAACCACAACCAAGAGCATTCC